AGGATTTGAATGGGATTGGCCGCTGGGAGCGCGGATGATCCGTTAGGATTTGAATGGGATTGGCCGCTGGGAGCGCGGATGATCCGTTAGGTTTTGAATGGGAATGGCCGCTGGGAGCGCACGTGTTATCCCGCCAAGAGCAACGGCCGCTTTAGCACGTGAGCGGCCTCTCGAGACCCCATCCCACCACCTCACCAAGGCTGTGCTAGCCCGGCCACAACTACCTCCCCCCAACACAACCCATGACCCACCTTCTGAAAGGTAGGAACACGCAATGGCATGGCTGCCTTTCACCCACCACCAGTGAAGGTAGGTTGACCAAACCGTTTCCCAGAGTCGGGGTCGGGACACTAAGTGGGCGTCGTCAATTAACTTTCTTGGTGTATTGGTATTTGAGGCATCTATGGCCGGTCTTCTGATGCACCCAACTGCTCTCCATTTTCAAGTCTTTAAATGGGGTTCACAGTGGGAAAATGGTTGTAGACAGTACTGCTATACAGAGATGGTGATATCAATGCCCAATTAGATGTTGCTGCCAGGGGATCCTGCTAGGTCCACTTCTTATAACATCTTTGTTGTACTTCCTGAAAAACGTATTGATGGAATGGTACCTAACCTCCTATCCCTTGCAATAGGTAGGTTATATATTTCATAATTTTAATCATTAGAATCCCTACAGTATGAAAGCAGGCCATTCAGCCCATTGAGTCCACACCAACCCTCCAAAGAGCATCCCACCCTATCCCTGTAACCTTGCATTCCCATAACTAATACACCTGGCCAGCACATCCCTAGACACTACGAGCAATTTAGCATGGCCAGTCCACCTAACCTGCACATCTGTGGACTGTGGGAGGAAACTGCTGCACCCGGAGGAAACCCACGCATACATGGGGAGAATGTGCAAACTTTACACAAAGAGTCGACCAACGCTGGAATCAAACCCTGATCTCTGGTGCTGTGATGTACCAGTGCTAACCACTGATCCACAGCTGTAAATAAGAATTTCCTTATTTATTTTAATAGGCTCCATCATACACTCAAATTCATCTTCAAAAAGGAGCAGCCAAATGATCTTCATTTCCTTGAAAACCTAGTTGAGAGATCGACCAGGACATTCTCCACTACTACCTTCTTCAATGGTCAGTGTACACATTAGGATTCCTACAGCTGTATGTGCTGTAAAATTGGCCTTAACAGCAACCTCCCTTATATGGCCTGAACCATTTGTTCGTCATGCAAGCTAGATGCTGAAATAAAACCTGTCAAAATCATTCTGCAGATAATGGCAACCCTGATCGGATGTTTTCTTGCTATATATCAAGCAAAATGATTAACAGGCGTAAAGCTGTCACTTCTGGGTCTAAAAAGTGCCCAGTTTACCTTAGATTACACCGAAAGTATAAGATGATCAAAAGTTTGAACTACAGATAAAGCTAACTCCCAGGCAGTAGCAACATGACTGGTATTCACCACTAACAGAATGCTGCCATCAAGCCAAAAAAATGTTTTGCCTGTCACACAAATGAGTCATATGGAATATGACCAACAATCCCAAACTAGTGGTTTGTATCAAACAGCATATTCTTTAGGCTGTTAGTAACAACAAAGATATTCATTGTACCAAACCAGTTCAAGTTTGTAAAACTCCCAACGTTAGTGTCCAACGTTAGGTGTGATTCCACAATTATCTACATAATCCAGGGTGTAAAGAATTATTCTGTCAACCAGTTTAGGATTGTCAATTCATTTTATAGTATGGCTCACTTGCATGAAATGGAAACTACTTTTGGTAGACAGAGTACCATTGTTTGCAGACGGAAAGAACATGTACATAAATTGTGCCTGTTTCAATGCAATAAAATAGATGATAGCCATTCTCTTGTTCATGACTCAGGGCAATGCCTTGACCATTAAGAATTAGTCTGCCTTGTTCAAAATTTAATCAAAGCTTGACAGTTAACTGTCGGTTATAATTAACTGGTGCATTTTCTTTTTAAAGCAATACTCAGTAGTTACTCCAACACAAATTGTGCCTGAAATCAGTTCAGACCTAAGTCAGTCAGATTTGTGATGTTTGATGAAGAGGAAAATTCAAATGAAGGTCAAAAACAAAATCTTTCTTTGAGAACACCTCTGCATAATCTTAGGCCAAAATAGGTCAATGTCATTCCCACGTTCAGAAAGTTTGAGTCAAGAAGTGTGAGGTGATGCATTTTTGATGCAAGAGTATACTGTAAATGGCCGGACCCTTAGGAGTATTGATATACAGAAGGATCTTGGGGCCCAAGTCCACAGCTCCCTGAAAATGCCAACACAAGTGGATAAGGTGGTAAAGAAGGCATAATGCATGCTTGCCTTCATCGAGCAGGGCATTGAGTGTAAAAGTTAGCAAATCATGTTGCAGCTGTATAAGACTTTGGTCAGGCCACATTTGGAGTACTGTGCGCAGTTCTATTTGCCGCAATGTTGGAAGTATGTGGAGGCTTTGGAGAGGGTGTAGAAGAGGTTTACCAGGATATTGTCTGGATTTTCTTTTATTCAGTCATGGGGTGTTCACATCACTGGCCAGGCCAGCATTTATTGCCCATCACTAATTGCTCCAGAGGGCAGTTAAGAGTCAACCACATCAAGGTGGGTCTAGAGTCACATGTAGGCCAGATCAGGTACAGATGGCAGATTTCCTTCCCTAAAGGACATTAGTGAATCAGATGGGTTTTTCTACTAATCAACAATGAATTAATGGTTATCATTAGACTTTTAATCCCAGACTTTTTTTTAATTGGTTCAGTTTCCACCATCTGCCATGGCAGACATTCAAACCTGTGTCCCCAGAATATTAGCTGGGTCTCTGGATTAATAGGTCAGTGATACTACCACTAGGCGATCACCTCCCCATCATTGGATTGGAACGTATCAGCTGTAAGGAGAGTTTGGACAAACCTGGATTGTTTTATCTAGAGCGTCGGAGGCTGAGGGGCGATCTGTTAGAAGTATATAACATTGAGAGGCGTGGATAGTTGGAATCTTTCCCAGCGTGGATATGTCAAGTACCATGGGATATAGGTTTAAGGCAAGAGAGGGAATGTTTAAAGGAGATGTACGAGGAAAGGTTTTTGCACGGACAATGGTAGGTGCCTGGAACGTGCTGCCAGCGGAGGTGGTAGAAGCAGATATGATAGTGAAGTTTAAAAGGCATTTAGACAGATACATAAACAGGTGGAAAATAGAGGGATATAGACCATGTGAAGGCAGAAGGGATTAGATTACAATAGCATCAGTACAGATGTGATGCGGTGAAGGGCCTGTTCCTGTGCTGTACTGTTCTATCTTCTAAGAAATGAGGTATGTTGTTAGGAATAGGAAACCTATGGTACAGTTAGATTTGTAAATACTTGGAAAACAAGAAATATATTTAAGTGGTATGGAATTTTGAATATGTATAACAATCATTCTGGAGGGACATGTGTAATATCATTTTCCTGTGGTTATTTGTATATATGAGAATAAGTCAGTTTGGTTGGTTGACTGTCAATGCAAAATTGACTGATGAATCCAGGCACAGCAGATGGTATTGCCACTAGTGCTGCAGTGAAATTTAGGCGCAGAGAAATAGAGGAGAAATATATGCAGCAGAAAGCCCAGGACCAGCAGCAACCTTCAGCAGATCCTGCACAGCCTCTACATGAAGATGTCTCAGCTTCCCTTTAGGAAGTGCAGGACGACCAGAATCTTTAGTCTGCGATGGCATTTTCTTGAGATAAACAAGATGGCAGGTTACCACAGGATGAGGATGTCCCAGGACATTGTTACAGAGCTACAGGATGCACTGCCGAAATACACCAAAGATCAAGGCACCTAAGAGAGGAGTCAATTCTTTAAAATAAAACTATTAAAACTTACAACAGTCAGGAAAGGTGTGCTTTACCAATTGAAACAATTGATGTTAATAACAATGCTTAGACATCAGACATGAAATGTTAACACTACACAATGCTTCCATACAGGTTCTCTAATTCTTTCTGTTTTTATTTCAGATTTTCAGTATATGCAGCTTTTTTATTTATGAAAAACAATTTTCTTTGGTGGCTTAAACAATTTTTTTAATCTACAAATGAGTCCATGGTTATGAGGTCAGGCAAGAGAATAGATTTAAAGTGACAATTCAGATCAGCCGTGATATTATTGAATGGCATAGCCAGTTCTGAAGAAGAGTCACTGGACCTGAAACATT